TACCAATTTAGTCCTAAACCTTTTTTTGGTACCAATTCAGTCTTAAACCTTTTGCATTGGTGCCAATTCAGTCCTAAAACTTTTAAATTGGTGCCAATTCAGTCCTAAAACTTTTAAATTGGTGCCAATTCAGTCCTAAACCTTTTAAATTGGTGCCAATTCAGTCCTAAACCTTTTGTTTTTGTGTCAATTTAGTCCTTCCGGCCAATTTTGACCGGAATTTGCCGACGTGGACGCCTGCCGCCGGCGGCCAGTCACCGGCGCTGACGTGGCGCCGACGTGGACAACTTTAATATTATTTTAATATTTTTTTTGAATTTTTATTTTTTTCCTTTTTTTTCTTTTTTTTTCCACTTTTTTTTTTTTGGTCTCTCCCTCCTCCCTTTGGCCGGTCGCCGGTCCGGCGACCTGCTGAGGCCAGAGGCCGACGAGCTCAACCTCGCCGGCCACTGGCCGCCCTCGCCGAGGGCGAGCCTCGCCTTGGTCGGGCGAGGCTCGACCTCCCAGATCCGACGAGGTCGGGCCTCGCCCGACCATGGCGAGGCTCGAGCCCTCGCCGGAGGCCGCGGCTCGAGCCCTCGCCGGAGGCCGCGGCGAGGGCGAGCCTCGCCATGGTCGGGTGAGGCCCGACCTCGCCGGATCCGGCGAGGTCGAGCCTCGCCCGGCGACCTCGCCGCGGCCTCCGGCGAGGGCTCGAGCCTCGCCTTGGTCGGGCGAGGCCCGACCTCGCCCGGATCCGGCGAGGCCGGGCCTCGCCCGACCAAGGCGAGGCTCGAGCCCTCGCCGGAGGCTGCGGCGAGGTCGGGCCTCACCCGACCATGGCGAGGCTCGCCCGACCATGGCGAGGCTCGCCCGACCATGGCGAGGCTCGCCGTGGCCTCCGGCGAGGGCTCGAGCCTCGCCATGGTCGGGCGAGGCCCGACCTCGCCGGATCTGGCGAGGTCGAGCCTCGCCCGACCAAGGCGAGGCCCGCCCTCGCCAGTGGCCGGCGAGGTCGAGCTCGCCGGCCAGAGGGAGGAGGGAGAGACCAAAAAAAAAAGTGGAAAAAAAAGAAAAAAAAATAAAAGTTCAAAAAAATATTAAAATAATATTAAAGTTGTCCACGTCAGCGCCACATCAGCGCCGGTGACAGGCCACCGGCCGGCAGGCGTCCACGTCGGCAAAATCCGGTCAAAATTGACCGAAAGGACTAAATTGACACAAAAACAAAAGGTTTAGGACTGAATTGACACCAAAAAAAGGTTTAGGACTAAATTGGCCCCAATGCAAAAGGTTTAGGACTGAATTGGCACCAAAAAAAAGTTTAAGACTAAATTGGCACTAATGCAAAAGGTTTAGGACTTTTTTGGCACTTTTCCCTTGATTTTAGTCGTCAACAATGAGTCGCATGTTCCTTTATATTCCGATCACGTGTCCATCCATGTCGACCGCCAGGTCATTGATATCGATTTGACTCTTTTGTACCTTGCATGCCTTGAACTTCATCGCTCTCCATGGCTCCCGAATCTGCAATGTACTCTCCCGCAGATTATATCGTCAAGTTCGATAGCTTATGAGAAGATGAGCATCATGAAAATTCTTTTTTGATCTTCTAAATGAGATTCGCTAGTATCCCAACGACGTTATCCTCGATCCCTGTCTCAAAAATCACTTTCAAGTGCCTGCGTCTCTCTTACGCCCTATTTTCCTCACAGAAGTGGTGAATTGTTGCCTATTCAGAGACATTCCATTGTAGATGTTTGGACCACTAATCCTTCGCGATTTAGGGGTTTTTCTTCCTTCAAAGTGGATTTCTACAGACGATATTTGAGGACGAGGGCCAATAGTCGGATACAGCCTATTTGGGGAAAAGTCGGCATTGATACCGCTCTCCAGTTCTGTTGTTTCGACTGGGACTTAAATGTAGGCATTGGGTGCCGTCATCACTTCTTAGTCACCATCAACTAACTGTTTTTTTGTCCTTGGGGTCCCATGTTGATCACTCTTTAGGATGCTTATGCCGTAGCTAGTTTTCTCCCAACGGGTATATCTGTGAAAGATATCGGTCCTCCTAAACTTCTCACAAACCTATTGAAGATAGCGCACTTTCTTATGGGGAATTCTTACACCGATTTGGTTTGAAGTCTGGTCTAGTCACTGATTCTGAGCATCCTGCTTTTTTGCTGTTCTGGCTTTCAAAGTGCATCTTCTTTCATCCGGCTCTCAAATTATCTAAGGACCTCCTTGGGATTGCTTCCAGTCTTGCCGAAGGTACGCCAATTGCTTTGGGCCTTACCCTCGCTGCCCTGTATAGAGGTGACACCCATGCTTCTTCAGCCATGCGGTCTAAAGGAACGGGGACCTTTTTTGGCTTGTTTTGGCTTCTTCTCCAAGCCTGGATTGCTCTATATTTTCGATCCTTTTTCTCGGATCAAATCCATGTTCTGCCTCAGCATGAGGAATTAGATCCCCAGCCATATTTTCCCGATTCGGATGGTTGTCGATTACTTAGTCGTTCTCCTTTGCCTATTCCTAGAACATTTCCTCTTTCAAACAATTCCTTCAGCGGTTCCTAGAGTTTGATTTGGATAAGTTTAACTTTTGTCCTTATACTTCCCACGCCTACTCTCGTCTTTACACTTTCACTCCCCGGAAAAAATCTTCTGAGTTCTCGATCAATGGTTTAGGACTAATATGGCAAATTTAGCAAAGTTTATGACTGAATTGACATTCTTACAATAAGTTAGGATTGAATGGATAATAGTATCTATTTTTTGCCCATATTTTCGTTTTGTTTCTCCAATGTAAATGATGATTTTCAATTATTCTTGTACCTTATAAATGTGAGATAGTAAAGCATATTTTTGGACAAAAATTCATACTTTTGTACAAAAAATGCATAAGAGGCAAAGGCCTGACGATCCTTGCCAAACGTAGTAAAAAAAAGACAAAAGAAAATAAAAAATATAAAAAAAAATTTCATAAGTTTTTTAAAAAATCACAAAAATATCCATGTCAACGCTGTACATGCTACGTAGGACCGCGACGTTCGCGTCAATGATCTTTTGCCTAAATTGATCGAAATAACTACATTATCAAATCGTAAAAAAGGTTTAGGACTAAAATTAGCTAAATTGAAAAGCTTATGACTAAATTGGCATATGTGCATTATGTTTATGACTTTTTTTTGGTAATTTTCCCAAAAAATACTCATTATACATGCACAAGAACATGCAGCCTTCCAATATTATAGTCCAAATACATATATACTCGCGAGAGAATGAACATCGAATTTGAATAACTAGCAAGAGCATGAACATGAAATTCCACATTCTAGATCGATCTGTTTAACTCCTTTTAAGATAATACTTTTAGTTTTTGTCCCGATAGCCCCTACAACGGAATCAATGTCGAGTCCAAATTGGGAGTCAAGACAGGCGTTATTGAACGGAAAACGAGTAACTGAAAAAGCTGCGCGCGATGGAAAAAAATAGCAGACAATCGTCAAAAACAATGAAGAGTCTTCAACGACAAGAGCAAAGCAACAAAGATGGCATATTTGTTTGGGATGGAACCCTCTTTGCTAATTTGCTGTTCTCGCTTAGTTATCCCCCCATTCCTGGTCCACTCCAGAGTCTCCGGAAAAAAGGGAAATTAAAAAAGAAGATAAGAACAGCAGGAGTGCTATAATTTTCGTATGGTACCCACTTAAGTACCATATTTTTTTTATGCTCACTTAAGTGCAATAAATTTGAAAAATCAATCACTTAAAAGCCAATGACGATTTGCCTCGGCGGACAGAAAATCCAAGATGGATGCCGATCATCCTATGTGGCATCGCTGGCGCCAACGTGGATAGTTTTTGTAATTTTTTCACTTAATTTAAGTGCCACGAATTTGAAGGGAAAATTACCAAAAAAGTCATAAACCTATTGTAATTGTGTCATTTAACTAAACTTTTTTTTTGCCAATTAAATCCTAAACCTTTTGCAATTGTGTCAATTTAGTCCATCCGGCCATTTTTGGCCGGGCGGCACTGACATGGACGCCCGCCAATGTGGATGCCCGCCAGTGTGAGCCGATGCTGACGTAGCAATTTTTAAATATTTTTTTCGAATTTTTTTTTTCTCTTTTTCTTTTATTTTTTCCTATCTTCTTCCCCGGTCGCCAGGCGAGAGCGAGCCTCGCCGTCGACTGGCGAGGTCGAGCCTTGCCATGGCCGGGCGAGCTCGACCTTGCCCAGCGACGACGAGGTCTTGCCAGATCTGGGCGGCCTCGCCGTTGGTGGGTGAGCTTGCCTGGCCATGGCGAGGCTCAACCTCGCCTGGCGACGGCGAGGCTCGCCCATGGCCGGCGAGTTCCACCTCGCCGGCCTCAGCCTCTGGCCGGTCGCCAGACCGGCGACCGAGGAAGAAGATAGGAAAAAAAAAGAAAGAGAAAAAAAAAATTCAAAAAAAAAATTTAAAAATTGTCACGTCAGCGTCGGCTGGACGGCCGGCCGGCATCGGTAGGCATCCACGTCAGCGCCGACTTGCCAAAAGTAGCCGAATGGACTGAATTGGCACAATTGCAAAGGTTTATGACTGAATTGGCAAAAAAATAAAAGGTTTAGGACTGAATTGAATAAGTTTAGGACTTTTTTGGTAATTTCCCCGAATTTGAAAAATCAATCACTTAAATACCATCGACAATTTGCCTCGCTAGAAAATTTGCCACCGGCCTTGTCCAAATCTGGCAAGGGCCTTCACACCTTGGCCGAGGGCGAGGCTTTTGTGTTCAGAGCATAGAAAAAAAGAAGAAAAAATTCAATTTTTTTAGAAAAATGCAAAAAATCAATGTAGGATGATTTGCCGAGAGTGGCACTTAAACGATCAATTTTACTCTGACGTGGTACTTAAGTAAATAAAAAAAAATTATATCACTCAAATGAGGGATCGATGACACTCCTGTTATATTCTTATCACAAAAAAGGAAGATAGTCCTGTTATCACACAACGTACAAGCCTGTCTCCATACTCCGTCCATCAAAGAACGTCACCTCATTTGCTTCTCATATCACACACTGCACAGACATATCAGAGAGAGAGAGAGAGGACATGAAAATGGCTTCTAATTGTGTTTGTGCCGTGAGTGGTTTCTGGGTCGTGTTTCTTGTTTTGTTGAGGTTAGGTTGCTCGGAGGGACAGAGGGTGCCGGCGGCTTTCGTGTTCGGGGACTCGCTCGTGGACGTGGGCAACAACAACTACTTGCCGGTTTCGTTAGTGAAAGCAGACTTCCCGCACAACGGCATAGATTTCCCCACCAAGAAGCCCACCGGAAGGTTCAGCAATGGCAAGAACTCCGCGGATTTTCTCGGTACACACAGACTTCTCCATTCATCGGCATCACTCTGCATATGCTTCGATTCTTCATTCATCTTCATCTTATGTCGAGATGCGTATATCTATTATTCGATCCACCCTCCCTCACTTGGCCTTATCACATAATCTTGGTGCGATGTCGATTCGACCCTTCCCCAATTTGAGGATCGACATTATTAATGGTATTATGATATTTACCTGATTTTGTATATCTCTCATGATTATGCATACATCTCTTTTGATAGTGCATATCCTTGATTGATTATATTTGATTTTGTATTTATCTTATTACCTTAAATAGTCATCTCAAAAAATCTATAAATAGGCTCTCTTATAATCTTTTTCGCATATCAAATTATACTAATATTATCCAATTCTCTCTTTCGCATTCTTATTTTCAATTGACATATTGACAACTCATGAAGGTTTGGCTCTGATTGGCATGTCATGTCGTGACATAAAGTTGATGTAGAGAGCATATACCGTAATAAAGACCTGCCGCGCTTTAAGTTTCCGCAGTCTCATTTGGTTGTCACAGAGATGTGGCTGCATAAATGTGATAAGGACACGCCCTTGCGGAAGACGAATCAACTTCACCGCTTTAATTGTTAAGAACGATAGATATCTACCCCTTATCTGCAATCTTCTCCTACTGTTTCCTTGCTATTTCTATGTAAACATCTACTGAACTATTGCTGGGGAACTGGCTACTTTAGGTCCAATGGCTAGATTATTACTTTTTTTTCGTACGTAGAACGAAAGAGAAAAGGATACAAAAAAATGAATGCCTGTACGCATCGTGATTGGCCAACTGTTATGGACTTTTTGGGCAGCTGAGAAGTTGGGCTTGCCGACGTCGCCGCCGTATCTCGCCCTCATCTCCAACTACAGCGAGAGCTATTCTTCATCGCCCTTCCTAACCGGTGTTAGCTTTGCCTCCGGAGGTGCTGGCATCTTTGATGGCACCGATGAGAGATACGTAAGTAACAGAAACCGTCTTTTCACTTTGCGCAATTGAATTTGACCTTATTATGTAAGCGGTTCGAGGTGAACTCTCCGTTCTAAATTACTTTAATTCGGTACAAACCATATCTTCCTAAGTAGTGCTTGATTCAAGACCAATCACCTGAAAAAACGAATGGGTAGTTGCAACATGCGACTGCCGATGGGTGGTGGCCTCATTTAATGGGCGAAACTAAGAAGAAATATGTCATGACACCGATTTCAGGATTTATACTAAAACCCATATATCTGATTGCTTTTCTTTGAGAAAAGAAAAGGCCATGTTTGTGTTTCATTTTGAGCATGCAGTTCCTGTTCTGTTTTCGGTCAAACACGTTGAGAAAACCCCAAAAGAAAAACATAAAATAAAGGGGATTAAAAGCAAAATGAAAAGGTGAATAAATAGTGCGGTGAGCGTGGATCGAACACGCGACCTTCAGATCTTCAGTCTGACGCTCTCCCAACTGAGCTATCCCCGCTAATTTGCAACTTTGACTCGATTATTTCTCCAGCAACAATCGATACCTTTGACCAAGCAAGTGGAATACTACCTCGCGGTGCATGAAAACCTGGTTCAACACCTGGGATCGTCGGGTGCAAAGAAGCATGTCGCCAAGTCCCTTTTCGTTGTAGTGATCGGAACCAACGACATCTTGGGCTACTCCGGATCCTCTAATCTCCGCAAGCAGCACACGCCGCAGCAATACGTCAGCCTCATGGCTTCTTCGCTGAAGGATCAGTTAAAGGTACCTACATTCCGTGAAACCGGCCTAACACGATGTTTTAGGTGAACTAGTTTGTTACGTGTTCATTATTGACTACCAAGGCGTGTTCTTCTGATAATTTTTTGGAAACTCTGAATTCCTGTGGCAGCGTCTCCACAATTACGATGCACGCAAGTTCGTGTTCGTGGGGCTCCCGCCGATTGGATGCTGTCCGTCACAGAGGAACCAGGACAAAACAGCCGCATGCAAGGAGGACACGAATTCCTGGTCGCGCATGTATAACATGGCGCTCCTAGCGATGTTGAAGGGATTGAAGTCCGAGCTCAACGACATAAGCTACAGTTACTTGGACACCTACACCGCCGTGCAAAACTTTGTCCAGAATCCATCTGCTTATGGTAGGACTTCATGTGGGACTCATGATTTAATCAGACCTTTTCGAATCTCCTGTATATCAGTCCGATCTTTAGACCTATCAAATAATGACTATCTGTACTATTTCGTCAGGTTTTACAGAGGTAAAAGCGGCTTGTTGCGGTCTCGGTAACCTGAACGCAATAGTTCCATGCTTACCGATTTCACAGTACTGCCCTAACCGGCGAGACCATGTGTTTTGGGATCTATACCATCCCACAGAAGCAGCGGCCCGCATATTGATAGACAAAGTATTCCATGGTTCACCACAGTACACATACCCAATGGACGTCCAGCAACTGGCCGCCGTCGATGTTTAAGCAAAACAAACAACACAAATTGGAAGAAATTTCTTTTCAGACAGTAAGATTACATACTACAGGTTGTCAATTGTCAAAAAGCGTTTCAGTGTTTGGGGATACTTGGGTTAAGAAAAATCGTTGCTTTTAAAGATGTCGTTCTGTTGCAGGGTTTTGTATATCAGAAGAAAATGTATCGTCAGTTAATATAATCTCAAATTGTTCTTTGCGTTAATCTCAGAGCAACTGCAAAAATGCCAACAAACGGACGTTATCCAGCCGCTATTTCCTGTCCCTTTTTGGGTACCGACAGAAATTATAAACCGAAGGATCCGAGAAGGCTAGATTTGGGCAAATGCTACCAGGAATATTTACCCGGGAAGTTCATAGTCATTGAAGAAGATTGTTGGTGCAGAAAATCCAGCATATATGTTAACAAATATTGTCACCACTAAGAAACTAAGGCTATGCATTGCCTCAGTTAGCCTCCATGGTTAGTGATGAGGGGGGCGGATACTTTGGGTTATAAAGACAAGTGAAAACTATAAAAGACCACTGTTGTTTGAAGATCAGCCTCCGAGTGAGAGATTGATGGAGTTGTTAAGTCTCATAGAGAAAAATAATATTAAAGCTCAAAGGTTTTACTATCAATGGCATACATGTAATGCATACCCTAAATTCCCACTAGATATTGGGGCAATATCTTTTGTAGTGCTAATACTAAAACTTGCAATTTTTTATACAAATACTGATAATGAAGAGATTGCCTAATTCGGCATTGTGGTTTTTCCCTGGAAAAGTGTCAGAAAAGTCACAAACCTATTGCATTGGTGCCAATTTAGTCCTAAACCTTTTTTGTGCCAATTCAGTCATAAATCTTTTGTCTTTGTACCAATTTAGTCCTTCCGGCTAATTTTGGCCGGATTTTGCTAACGTGGATACCGGTTGGCTTACGTGGCACCGCCGGCGATGACATGGACAACTTTTAATAATATTTTAATATTTTTCGATTTATTTTATTTATTTATTCTTTTCTTTTCTTTTCTTTCGTTTTCTTTTTTTTTTCTTTGCCTTTCTTCTTACTGGCGACCGGCTAGAGGCCAGGGCTAGCTAGGTCCCTCACCAACCTCTGGCGAGCCCCACCGGCCACTGGCGAGGCTCGCCCTCGCCAGCAACAGCGATGGCAAGCCTCACCCAGCCACTGGCGAAGCTCACCTCACCCTCGCCAACGGCCTTCAACCTCGCCAGAATCTGGGCGAACCACGAACTCATCGGATCCAACGAGGGCAAGCCCCGGCAGCCCAGCGCGAGGCTGCCCTCAGGGCCATCCGGCGAGGTCAAATGGTCACGAGGGTAGCCTCGCGCTAGGCTGATAGGGCTCGCCCTTGCCGACCATGGGTGAGGCCCGACCTCGCCAGATCCGACGAGGGCTCGAGCCTTCGCTAGTGGCCGCAAGGTTGCAGGCGAGCCTCTCCAGCGATTAGACGAGCCTCGCCCTCACTGGCCTTGGCCCGGCGACCGGGAGGAGGAAGAAGAAAGAGGAAGAAAAAAAAATAAAAAATTTTCGAAAAATATTAAAATATTATTAAATTTATCCACGTCATCGTTGACGGTGCCATGTAAGCCAGCCGGCGTCTACGTCAGCAAAATCCGGCCAAAATTAGCCAAAAGAACTGAATTTGTATAAAGACAAAAGGTTTAGCACTGCATTGGCACCAAAAAAAGGTTTATGACTAAATTGGTACTAATGCAATAAGTTTAGGACTTTTTTGACATTTTTCCTGGTTTTTTCCTTCCTAACTTTGAAAGGGTTTGTGTTGATTGCTTACCGTTGATAAGTTTGTTGATCAACTTCTCAAGTCTTCATGAGGGCATTTGTCAATGACTTTGTCAATCAACTTCTCATCAGCGAGTTGTCGATTGTTCCCACCAAACTATTTTTATCACATTCGGTTTGTTACTTGTTGATAATAATCAAAAGTTGGTCATTTTTGGGTGTCCACACATTCAAAAGATAGAAAGCAATGATATAATTTATAAAGTTTACACGATAAACTTCAACACATTCAAATATTGTTACCTATATGATATGGCACTGTAGTTGAAGAATGATTTTTTGTTAGGGAAGTTGTCCAATTAGTACTAAACCTATTATACATATATCAATTTGGTCATAAACTTTCAAACTTTGTCAATATAATTTTACACATTTGCGCGAAATTCCATTGTAGTCCTTCTAGCTAGAAATCGTCGACGTGGTGGTGTGCCATGTAGAATGGCCGTCGATAACTGGATCGCCACGTCAACAACTTTTCCATGAACATTGGTCAAACGGACTACATTTGAAAAATTGAAATGTTTATAACCGAATTGACATCCATACAATGGGTTTATGACTGATTAGGTAATAATATCTACTTTTTGCCCATATTTTCATTTTATTTCTCTCTTCAAATACATAATGAATTTCGATCATTCTTGTACCTTATAAATATGAGATAGTAATGCATATTATTGGACTTTGGTCATTGTGTTAGCCCTAACACACTATTATCGTGGCATAGCTCCTCTAAAGATTAATCAAGCATGCGAAAAATACTCATTATACATGCACAAGAATACACAACCTTCCAATATTATACTTCATATACATATATACGCGCAGGAATATCAACATCGAATTGACTAACCATAATATATAAATAACTAGCAAGAGCATGAACATTAGATTCCATATGCTAGAGCGATCTTTTTTACTGCCATGAAGATAATACTTAGTTTTTATCCAAAAGCCCCGACGATGAATTCGTTGTTAAGTCTGTTGCGACCCTCCCGAAGGTGCACCACCTAGGAGTTGGCTAATGGATTACTAAGCCTAAATCTAACTCGAGACCTCTCAAACTCATACCAATTCGCAATTTGGTTCAAGTTCTTAACATGCAAATCATTTTGCATTTAAGAGTCGCCACTAATCTACTTTTTATAGGTCAATTCAAAACCAAGTAAAGTTTAGAAGAATTACTTTACTTTTACTAACCAGAGATTAAACAATGACTTGTTTACGCTAGATTACTCCAATGCCCTTTTGGTATCATTTCATTTATTTCTAAAAAAATTTGGTATCATTTCATTTATTTCTAAAAAAAATTTAAGCAGGTAGGTTGGATTGATTTTAACTTAGACACTAACATACAGGGGATGATCATGCGGATACGCAATCATTAAAAATAACAACCAATAAACAAAGCAAACAAATTGCGAGAAAACAAAGCAATTGAACACACTAAAGCAGTCAAGTTTTTAAGGTTTTCTTTCATCATAATATAAAAACTAACCTATATATGTCTCGGTGCGGATTAGGAAATAAATCCTAATTGATAATGTCTAGCACAACAATAAAATATTCAAATTGATTCGAATAAGATTTTACCTAAGAATAATGTTGCCAAATTTGAACTGGTAAATGGACTGCTTGGACGGGGCCAGCGTTCACGGTGGTGATGGCCGGTGGTGGATGTCTCGCGGGTCATGGCAAGGAAGGCTGCCCGCGGTGGTGGAGCTCATGACCAAGGACTCTCGGGTCTGGCGCATGGCAGTTCAAGGATGGACGAGGGTGAGAGCTTCTCGGCTACCGATGTCGAGGTGCTCGGAGATGGCTCGGTGAGTGGTGCTCGACGGTAGGGTCTCGGTGATAATCTCGGCCAAGGATGAGCCGATGGTGGGGACTTGTAGCGTTTGCGAGGAGGAAACCGCCGCGGTGTGGTTGCTCTCGGTGATCAACAGGGGTGCTTCAGGACACCTGCAAAAACAGAAAGAGCTGCAAAGATTGTCAATGACGGTGTAAGGATCAGGCGACGACGGTGCAGGTGCAGGTGCGGGAGCCTCTCGGTCATGGGACAGCAGGTGCAGTCAATGGCAAGAGTGCAACGGCTTCTCGAAGTTTGCCAAGGAGCTCGCGGATGGGAGCAGCTTCGTCAGGGAATGGATCTCGGAGCAGCTTCTCGGGGCGGGCTGTTCGGCGGGACACGCCTCGGACTGGTTCAAGAGCTCGCTGCGGGCGGCTCGTGGTGTGGCGAAGGAACTCTGATTCGCCGGCCAAACCGCAGGACCCCTCGGCGTCGAGGCGGAGCAAGCGAGCCGCAAACGTCACGTTGGCTTACCAAGACCATGGAGATCGACGAGCGTAAGGGAGCCGGCGATCTCGCCGGATGCCTCGGCGGATGATGACTGGACGTGCACGAGCCGCCTCGTGTCTGTGAAGGTGCAAAGAAGAAGGAGAAAGAAGACACTCTCTTCTTCTTCTTTTCTGAACTTCCCCACTTTTTCCTCTTTCTTGTCTTATTCTCACTGTCCTTCACTGTGGAGAACGTGAGTTCTCTTTTCGTGCCCGCGAATCCTACTTTCTATGGCCCTCCCCTTAAATGTGAAGACTTAAAAGTCTACATTTATAGTGTAGAGCTAGGTTTCTTCTTCCCTAATCTTATTACGTGCTTGTTAAAATTAAGCTCAATGCCTCAGAACCTTTAATTAAGTCCACCTCAGAACCTTTAATTAAGTCCACCCGTCGTCAGTCCAACGTAATTTCTATGAGTTTGTCATATAATGCAAAATACTCCTGAAAACTATACAATTTAAATTATTCTTTTTATTTAGGGGCCGGTCCATAATTTCCTATGCAATGAATTATTAAATGAAATTTCAAAATATAAGTGTCAACAAAATTTAAATTGAGAGTCAAGATTGATAAAATATTTAATTTAAATTTTTAAAATAATTAATAATAATCTCATAAAATTTTATATGATAACAAATAAACGCTTTTATATAACAGCCGTTTTATATAAGGGTTTAAGCTTTTAGAAAAAACAAGACATGCATTATTGGATGAGACCCGTAAAGGCTGCACGCAATGGAAAAAAAAAACATAATAAACAATCTGTCCAATCAAAACAAACGAAAAAAGAAGAAGAAGAAGAGCCGTCTTCAAAGACAAGAGCCAAATAACAAAGATGGCATGTCAGTTATACGGACAGAACACCCTCTGCTAATTTGCTGTTCTCGCTGATTCATTCCCTTCCCGGTCCTCTCCACCGTTCTCCGAATAAAGGGAAATAAATCCTGCTCTCACGCCACTCGCTCCATCGTCAACCTCATTCCCTCCGTCTATATAAACCCATCAACCCGTTGTTTGCTTCACATGTCACGCACTGCACAGACGTCTCAGAGAGAGAGAGACAGAGAGGGAGGGAGGACATGAAAATGGCTTCTAATGGTGTTCGTGCGGTGAGAGGTTTCTGGGTCGTGTTTCTTGTGTTGTTGAGGTTGAGCTGCTCGGCGGGACAGATGGTGCCCGCGCTTTTCGTGTTCGGGGACTCGCTCGTGGACGTGGGCAACAACGACTACTTGCCGATCTCGATAGCGAGAGCCAACTTCCCGCCCTACGGCGTGGATTTCCCCACCAAAAAGCCCACCGGAAGGTTCAGCAACGGCAAGAACGCCGCGGATTTTATCGGTACGCATGACTTCTACATTCATCGGCATCAATCTGCACACGCTTGAGTTCTTCGCTCATCGTCCTATGTCGAGAGTCGTATATCTATCATTCCATCCACCCTCCCTCACTTGGCCTTATCGCATAATCATATTGATTTGACCCTCCCACGCCCGTAGACAAGTAGCGTTCCTCAATTTGAGGATTGAAATCTTGAAAAGTTACGAAGTTGGGCACGGATTGACATGTCAAGTCATCATAAATTAGGGATATTAAAATATCTACTTGATTCTACGTATTTTGCATATATCTTTTTTGACGGTGCATATACCAATCCGCATATTATCATTTCAACTATAAAGAAAGTTGATGTAAGGCCATTTAATGTTAAGAACGATAGATATCTTCCCCTTTTTTTGCAATCTTCGCTTACTTGTTGCCTTGCTATTTTTACGTTAACATCTACTGAACCATTGCTGGGAACTGTCTAGTTAAGATCCAATGGCTAGGTTTTTGCTTTTGCTTCATACGTAGAGCGACGAGAGAAGGACACAAAGATAGGGAACGCCTGTATGTGTCGTGATTGACTGATTGTCATGACCTTTTTGGGCAGCTGAGAAGTTGGGCTTGCCGACGTCGCCGCCGTATCTGGCCCTCATCTCCAACTCCAGCGAGAGCAATTCTTCATCGCCCTTCCTGACCGGCGTCAGCTTCGCCTCCGCAGGTGCTGGCATCTTTGATGGCACTGATGAGATACTTGTAAGTAACGGAAATCGTCTTCTGATTTTTTGCAATCGAATTTGATCCTCATCATTTAAGCGTGTCGTGGCAAACTCTTCATTCTATATTGTTTTAATTCGGTACAAATCCAAATTTTCCTTATTAGCATTTGATATGAGACCAATCCTACCGAGTGATAATGGGTGGCGACAACATGAGACTGCCGATGGGTAGTGGCCTCATTTAATGTGTCAAGCTAGGAAGATATATGCTCGACACCGATTTCGCGATTCATACTAAAACCCCTATATCTAATCGCTTCTCTTTTTCAAAGGAAAATAAGACGATGTTTCTGTTTCATTTTGAGCATGCAAGTCTCTGGTCTTGTTCGGAGTTAATCTTGATCTGTTTATAGCATCAATCGATACCTTTGACCAAGCAAGTGGAATACTACCTCGCGGTGCACCAAAACCTGGTGCAACACATGGGATCGTCTGGTGCACAGAAGCACGTAGCCAAGTCCCTCTTCCTCATCGTCATCGGAAGCAATGAAATCTTCACTTACTCCAGATCCTCCGATCTCCGGAAGCAGCAGACGCCGCAGCAATACGTCGACCTCATGGCTTCTTCGCTGAAGGATCAGTTAAAGGTACCTACTACATTCCTTCAAAATCAGTCTAACTAACACTATGTTTTTAGGTGAGCTTGTTTGTTACGTGTGCATTATTATCGACTACCAAGGCACGTTTTTTGATTTTTTTTTTCGGGAAACTCGAATTCCTGTGGCAGCGTCTCTACAGTAACGGCGCGCGCAAGTTCGTGTTCGCAGGGCTCCCGCCGATCGGATGCTGTCCGTTACAGAGGAACCAGAACAAAACGGACGGATGCAAGGAGGATACGAATTCCTGGTCGCGCATGTATAACGAGGCACTCCTAGCGATGGTGAAGGGATTGAAGTCCGAACTCAACGATATAAGCTACAGTTACTTGGATATCTACAACGTCGTTCAAAAATTCATCCAGAATCCATCTGCTTATGGTAGGACTTCGAGTGGGACTCGTGAGACCTTTTGAATCTTCTGTATATCAGTGCGATCCTAGACCTGTCAACTAATGACTCTCTACTATTTCCTCAGGTTTTACGGAGGTAAAAGATGCCTGTTGCGGTCTCGTTAACCCAATTGCAATAATTCCATGCTTACCCATTTCGCAGTACTGCTCCTACCGGCGAGACCATGTGTTTTGGGATCTTGTCCATCCCACAGAAGAAACAAACCGCATGTTCATAGACATAGCCTTCCATGGTTCACCACAGTACACATACCCAGTGGACGTCCAGCAACTGGCCACCGTTGAAACTTAAGCAAAACAAACAATTCAAATTGGAAGAAAAATTTTCTTTTCAGACAGTAGGATTACATACATGTTGTCAATCGTCAAAAAGAGATTCAGTGTTTGGGGATACTTGGGTTAATAATAATCGTTGCTTTTAAAGATGTCATTCTGTTGCCGGGCTTTGTATATCAGAAGAAAGAGCATCGACAGTTAATATAATCTCAAAGTGGTATTTGCAATAATCTCAGAGCTAACTGTAAAAATGCCAACAAACGGATGACCTTTCTGGGTACAGACAGAAAGTATAAACCGAAGGATCCGAAAAGGCTAGATTTGGGCAAATACTACCAGTTACATTTACCCTGGAAGTTCATAGTAGGACCGAAAATTTTGCAACGTGAATGGGCAATGACCAGTAGATGGAAGGCCAACTTACGCTTCCTCAATTTTCATGGTCTCTCTACTTAAACTTTCGAGAGGGCACATCAAAAGGAGACATTTTTTACTAGTCCAGTCATGCAAACTAGAAGTAACTCTAATTAATGATAAAAGGAAAATTGGGATTATGAAGGAAATATGTCTTTGAAGAATGCTTTGAGCTCACCATTGAGGGAATCAAATGCCAGCATCTTGTCTACCGCCTTCTGGATTTGCAAACAGATATATAATAATGTGTGAAAAAGCAGAGGAGTTATCTGTGCAATTGTGGAAACTGATTGTGCTGAGTCCCATACCTTGTACTGCTGATCTTGTGCTGATATGTTCTCATTGCACAGTCGATCAACAGGCTGGTTATTTCCAATAACATCTTGCATCAGGGCAGCTCTTCTCCTGCCGAAGTTACGCCAATTGCTTTGGGCCTTACCCTCGCTGCCCTGTATAGAGGTGACACCCATGCTTCTTCAGCCACGCGGTCTAAAGGAACGGGGACCTTTTTTTGGCTCGTTTTGGCTTCTCCAAGCCTGGATTGCTCAATATTTTCCATCCTTTTTCTCGGATCAAATCCATGTTCTGCCTCAGCATGAGGAATTAGATCGCCAGCCATATTTTCCCGATTCGGATTGTTGTCGATTACTTAGCCGTTCTCCTTTGCCTATTCCAAGAACATTTCCTCTTTCAAGCAATTCCTTCGGCGGTTCCTAGAGTTTGATTCGGATAAGTTTAACTTTTGTCCTGATACTTCCCACGCCTACTCTCGTCTTTACACTTTCACTCCCCGGAAAAAATCTTCTGAGTTATGGGTCAATGATTTAGGATTAATATGGCAAATTTAGGAAAGTTTATAACTGAATTGACATTCCAATCATAAGTTTATGATTGATTGGATAATAGTATCTATTTTTTGCCCATATTTTCGTTTTGTTTCTCCAATGTAAATGATGATTTTCAATTATTCTTGTACCTTATAAATATGAGATAGTAAAGCATATTTTTGGACAAAAATTCATACTTTTGTACAAAAAATTCGTAAGGGGCAAAGGCCCGACGATCCTTGCTAGACATAGTAAAAAAAAAAGACAAAAGAAAATATAAAATATAAAAAAAATTCAGAAAATTTTTAAAAAATCACAAAAATGTCCATGTCAACGCCGTAGATGCTACGTGGGACGGCGACGTTCGCGTCAGTGATTTCCTACCTAAATTGGGCAGAATGACTACATTGTCAAATCGTAAAAAAGGTTTATGATTAAAATTGGCTAAATTGAAATGTTTATGACTAAATTGGCACATGTGCAATATGTTTGAGACTTTTTTTTGGTAATTTTCCCAAAAAATACTCATTATACATGCACAAGAACATGCAACCTTCCAATATTATAGTCCAAATACATATATACTCGCAAGAGTATGAACATCGAATTTGAATAACTAGCAAGAGCATGAACACGAAATTCCATATTCTAGATCGATTTGTTCAACTCCTACTAAGGTAATACTTTTAGTTTTTTCCCGATAGCCCCTACAACGGAATCAATGTCCAGTCCAAATTGGGAGTCAAGACTGGCATTATTGAACGGAAAACGAGAACTGAAAAAGCTGCGCGCAATGGAAAAAAAAATAGTAAACAATCGTCAAAAACAATAAATTGTCGTCTTCAACGACAAGAGCCAAGTAACAAAGATGGCATATTTGTTTGGGACGGAAACCTCTTTGCTAATTTGCCGTTCTCGCTGAGTTATCCCCATTCCCGGTCCACTCCCCTGTCTCCAAAAAACAGGAAAATTAAAAAGAGATAAAAATAACATGGGTACCATAACTTTCGAACGGTGCTTATTTGAATACCATAACTTTTTTTCGCTCACTTAAGTGTTATAAATTTGAAAAATCAATCACTTAAGTGCCATTAGCAATTTGCCTCTGCGGAAAATCCAACGTGAACACCGGTCGTCCTATGTGGCACCGCCGGCGCCGACGTGGATAATTTTTGTAATTTTTTTCGCTTGTTTAAGTGCAACGAATTTGAAAAATCGATCACTTAAGTGCCACAAACTTGAAAAATCGATCACTTAAGTGCTATCGACAATTTGCCTTGCCAGAAAATTCGCCGCCGGTCTCGTCCAAATCTGGCGAGGGCCTTTACAGCCTTGCCCACGGCCGGCGAGGTTGCCAAGGCCCTGGGCGAGGCCGTTGCGACCTCGCCCACAGTCGGTGAGGCTACTATGGCCTTGGGTGAGGCCATCGCGGCCTCGCCGCGAAGGCCCTCGCCCACAGCCGGCGATGGCCTCACCCAAAGCCTTCGCGGCCCCACCGGTCGAGAGCGAGGCTTTTGTGGCTGGCACACAAAAAAAAAATAAAGAAAACTAAAAAATAAAACAATTTCAATTTTTTTAAAAAAATATAAAAAATCCACATAGGATGATCCGTCAAAAGTGGCACTCAAAAGATCGATTTTACTCTGATGTGGTACTTAAATGAGCAAAAAAAAATAGTTATGTTACTCAATGAATGTCGTACGAAAATTATGGAACTCCTACTCTACTCTGCTGTTCTTGTCACAAAAAAGGAACATGGTCCTGTTATCACACGTACAAAGCCTATCTCCATCCTCCGTCTATAAAAGCCAGTCACCTCGTTTGCTTCACATATCACGCATTGCACAGACATCTCAGAGAGAGAGAGAGAGAGAGAGAGAGAGAGAGAGGACATGAAAATGGCTTCTAATTGTGTTTGTGCAGTGAGAGGTTTCTGGGTCGTGTTTCTTGTTTTGTTGAGGTTGAGTTGCGCGGAGGGACAGATGGTGCCCGCGCTTTTCGTGTTCGGAGACTCGCTTGTGGACGTGGGCAACAACGACTACTTGCCGATCTCGATAACAAGAGCCGACTTACCGCCCTACGGCGTGGATTTCCCAACCAAGAAGCCCACTGGAAGGTTCAGCAACGGCAAGAACACCGCGGATTTTATCGGTACGCACAAACTTCTACATTCATCGGCATCACTCTGCATATGCTTCGATTCTTCGTTCATTTTCGTCTTCTGTCGAGAGTCGTATATCTATTGTTCGATCCACCCTCCCTCACTTGGCCTTATCACATAATCTCAGTGCGATATCTATTCGACCCTCCCATGTATAGACAAGTATATCCGTTCCCCAATTTGAGGATTGACATTGTAAGTGATATTAGGATATTTACTTAATTTTGCACATCTCTCGGGATTATGCATTTATCTTTTTTGATAGTGCATATCTTTGGTTGATTATATTTGATATTGTGTTTATCTTAATACCTTAGTTAGTCATCTCATAAAGCCTATAAATAGGCTCTACATGTAGTCTTTTTCATATATCGAAATATACTAATATTACCCAATTCTCTCTTCCGCATTCTTATTTTCAACTTGATATCATAGCCTCTTTTCCTGAGGCAACCTAGTGCACCGAGTGCACAACCCCGCTTGACAGTGTTCATCCGAGTGCCTCATTCTCATAACATTCCCCTGTTGTAATCATGCCAGCCATTCTTTCTGTAACCATGCCAAACATATCAACAGCGTTTAAGTTACTGTCCCAACAGCAACGTCGACCGCAAATGACACATGATGCTCGGCTCCAATAACTTTGATTCTCGACTTTTCACAACGAAAAGCCGACACCACCATTAGATTCACCGCCGTCATACTACATATTGAAATCTCATTGTCAACGAAAGCCTGGAACCAACACATGCACTCTAGGCGCAATTGCACCACCGATCCACCATGCTAGACGTTGTGCAGTGATGGTTTTCTGTCTAATTTCATGTCGATTGAAGATTTTGGGACACTGTTCGGATTATTTTTCAAACTCAAGTTGATTTGTTCCAACTCATCTTGCGTTTGAGGATCGACATTGTTAGTGATATTAGGATATTTACCTGATTTTGCATATCTCTCAGGATTATGTATATATCTTCTTTGATAGTGCATATCATTAATTGATCTTATTTGGTATAATGTTTATCTTATTACTTTAGATAGCCATCTCATAAAGCCTATAAATAAGCTCTCCATATAGTCTTTTCCATATATTGAAATATACTAATATTACCCAATTCTTTTTTTCGCATTCTTATTTTTAACTGACATCTTGAAAACTTATGAAGCTTTGGCTCTGATTGGCATGTGATGTAATGATATAAAGTTGATGTAGAGAGCATTTACTGTAATAAAGATCCGCCGCACTTTAAGTTTCCGCGGTCTCATTTCGTTGTCTTGGCTATGTAGCTACATAAATGTGATAAGGACACGCCCCTTTGGAAAGCGAATCAACTTCGCCCCTTTAATGTTAAAAACGATATATATCTTCCCCTTTTTTGCAATCTTCGCCTACTGTTGCCTTGCTATTTCTACGTAAACATCTACTGAACTATTGCGGGGGAACTGGCTACTTTTGATCCAATGGCAAGATTTATCGCCTTTTCTTCACAAGTAGAGCGAAGAGAAAAGGATACAAAAATAATGAATGCTTGTAAACAGGCTCTACCTGTAATTTTTTCCATATATCGAAATATACTAATATACCGAATTCTCTCTTCCGCATTCTTATTTTCAACTTGATATCATAATCTCTTTTCCTGAGGCAACCTAGTGCACTGGGTGCACAACCCTGCTCGACAGTGTTCATCCGAGTGCCTCATTCTCATAACATCCCCTGCTGTAACCATGCCAGCCATTCTTTCTGTAACCACGCCAATCGTATCGGTTGCATTTAAGTTACTGTCCCAACAGCAAAGTCGACCGCAAATGATACATGTTGCTCCGCTCCAATAACTCTGATTCTCGACTTTTCACAACGAGAAGTCGACACCACCATTAGATTCACTGCCGTCATACTGCATAATGAAATCTCATCGTCAACGAAAGCCTAGAACCAGCACATGCAACCCAGAACCAACACATGCACTCTAGGCGCAGTTGCACCACCGATCCACCATGCTTGACGTTGTGCAGTGCTGGTTTTCTGTCTGATTTCATGTTGATTGAAGATTTTGGGACACTGTTCGGATTATTTTTCAAACTCAAGTTGATTTGTTCCAACTCATCTTGCGTTTGAGGATCGACATTGTTAGTGATATTAGGATATTTACCTGATTTTGCATATCTCTCAGGATTATGCATATATTTTCTTTGATAGTGCATATCATTAATTGATCTTATTTAGTATTGTGTTTATCTTATTACTTTAGATAGTCATCTCATAAAACTTATAAATAAGCTCTCCATATAATTTTTTTCATATATTGAAATATACTAATATTACCCAATTCTCTTTTTTTCACATTCTTATTTTCAACTGACATCTTGAAAACTTATGAAGCTTTGGCTCTGATTGGCATGTGATGTAATGACATAA